AGCAACTGAGTAACTGATATGATGCTGGTTGCTGACGTATCATGTTTCCTTGGTGACGTTAGTTTAAAAATGAAATATTACAGATTACGAAAAGGTTTAGTGTTCACACAACAAACAAAATTATATATATATATATATATATATATATATATATATATATATATATATATATATATATATATATATGGCTTTATTTAGATCTCTGGAAAAGTAGCATAACACTACAATGCTTGTGTAAGTGGATTAAGCACAAAACACACACAAAATAAGGGTTTTTTACAAACTAACGACAATCGTGGGACAAATATATGCCTTCTTCTACACTTAAATGTTTATATTCTGCTGTCATGTTTTAATTTTGTTCCTCAAAGAAAGCTGAAAGCATTCATTATAATCCATGACTGCCAAACATCGCCTAATGTGTCGGGAAAACCAGTTCCTTCCCGCGTCGAAATAAAATATATGATGAGAGGTGATGTGAGAAATACCTTTAAATGTGACTGAATTTACATGAAGGATGATCCAGCGCTGTATTATGCGAAAATACTCCGTCAAAACATCGCCAATTCAGTGAGGAAGTGATTCCCCATCAGCTGATCCCCAGCACATCACGTGGTAATCCAGCGCGTGACGTCACCTGACCACATTCATGGGACACTTCAACATCAAAACGGCCATTTGTAGTTATATCTGTAGTAATATTTAATTAAAATCATCGATTTTAATGCAGTTTGTTGTAATTTTACTACAGATATAGTAACTGACAGTTTTGTTTATTAGTCCCTGTGTTTTGCTGTATGTTATATTTGCTAATATTATTAACATTAAAATCATAAGCAGCTTTCATCCATAGCAATAGATCACCCAACATTACTATCAGTAATATCATGTCAGTTTTTAAGCTGCTAGATTATGAAGCAATCAAGAGAAGAGGAAAATAAAAATGGGAATAAGCTTTTGTTTTGCACAATTACTATCGTTATTGTTTGTGTTTGTTGTTGTTTATATTGTACAACTAGCAGTGCTTATTATTGTCACTAGCAAGAAGCAAGATTATTCATAAGAGCTCATCCCTATACCTTAATAAAAAAAGATAAGGACAAAATATAAAAGGAGGAGTAGAGGAGGAGTAAAAAAATTAGTGGGTGGAGGAGTAGAGGAGGAGTATTAGGAGAAAATGAGTAGGTGGAGTAGAGGATGAAGAGTAGGAGAAAATAAAAAGGAGGAGTAGATGGAGGAGTAGAGGAGAAGTAGGTGGAGGAGTAGTAGGTGGAGTAGGAGTAGTAAGAGAAAAATAAAAAGAGGAGTAGAGGATGAGGTGGAGGAGTTGGAGAAAAGCTAAAGGGAGTAGTAGAGGAGGAGTAAGAGAAAATGAAAAGTAGAAGTAAGAGAAAAGGAGGAGGAGTGGGTGGTGGAGTAGGGGAGGAGTAGAAAGAGAAAAGGAGGAGTAGGTGAAGTAGATGACAATATGAGAAAGAGAAAAGGATGATTGGGTGGAGGAGTAGAAGAGAAATGGAGGAGTAGAGGAAAAGTAAGAGAAAAATGAAAAGGAGGAGTATGTGGAAGAGTAGAGGGGTAATAAGAGAAAAGATGGAGTAGCTGGAGTAGAGGATGAGTAGAAAAAATGAGGAGGAGTTGGTGGAGGAGTAGGAGAAAAGCTAAAAGAGGAGTAGAGGGGGAAGAAGTGAAAATGAAGAGGAGTAGAAGAAAACAAGAAGTGGGTGGAGGAGTAGAGGAGGAGTAGTAAGAGGAAAGGAGTAGTAATTGGAGTAGAGGATGAGGAGTAATAGAAAAATTAAAAGGAGTAGAGGAGTAGGTGGAGGAGTAGTAAGAGAAAAGGAGGAGTAGCTGGAGTATATGAGTAGACAAAATGAGGAGGAGGAGTGGAGTAGGAGAAAAGCTAAAAGGAGGAGTAGAGAAGTAGTAAGAGAAAAATTAAAAGGAGTAGAGGAGCATGTGGAGTAGCTTAGAAAGAGAAAAGGAGGAGTAGCTGGAGTAGAGGATTAGTAGAAAAAATAAGGGAGTGGCAGAGGAAGAAGAGGAAAATTAAAAGGAGTAGGTGGAGAAAGGAGGGGGAGGAGTAGGACAAAAGCTAAAAGGAGTAGAGGAAGAAGAAATGAAATTGAAAAGGAGGAGTAGGTGGAGGTGTAGAGAAGTATTAAGAGAGAAGGAAAAGCAGGTGGAGTAACAGAAAAGCTAAAAGGAGGAGTAGAGGAGGAAGAAGTAAAAATTAAAAGGAGTAGAAGAAAAAGAGTGGAGGAGTAGAGGAGGAGAAGTATGACAAAATGAAAAGGAGGATTAAGTGAAGAAGAAGAGGATGAAAAGTAGGTGGAGGAGTAGTAAGAGAAAAATGGAAAGGAGGGGTAGGTGGAGAAGTAGAGGAGAAGAGGAGTAGTAAGAGAAAAGGAGGAGTAGCTGGAGTATATGAGTAGACAAAATGAGGAGGAGGAGGAGTGGAGTAGGAGAAAAGCTAAAAGGAGGAGTAGAGAAGTAGTAAGAGAAAAATTAAAAGGAGTAGAAGAGCATGTGGAGTAGCGTAGAAAGAGAAAAGGAGGAGTAGCTGGAGTAGAGGATTAGTAGAACAAATAAGGGAGTGGCCGAGGAAGAAGAGAAAATTAAAAGGAGTAGGTGGAGAAAGGAGGGGGAGGAGTAGGACAAAAGCTAAAAGGAGTAGAGGAAGAAGAAATGAAACTGAAAAGGAGGAGTAGGTGGAGGAGTAGAGAAGTATTAAGAGAGAAGGAAAAGCAGGTGGAGTAACAGAAAAGCTAAAAGGAGGAGTAGAGTAGGAAGAAGTAAAATTTAAAAGGAGTAGAAGAAAAAGAGTGGAGGAGTAGAGGAGGAGAAGTATGACAAAATGAAAAGGAGGATTAGGTGAAGAAGTAGAGGATGAAAAGTAGGTGGATGAGTAGTAAGAGAAAAATGGAAAGGAGGAGTAGGTGGAGGAGTAGAGGAGAAGAGGAGTAGCTGCTTCAGTAGAAGATGAGTAAAAATGAGGAGGAGTGGAATAGGAGAAAAGCTAAAGGGAGGGGGAGGAGTAGGACAAAAAGAAGAGGAGTAGGTGGAAGAGTAGAGGAGTAGTCGGAGAAAAGGAGGAATATGTAGAGGAGTAGTGAAGGAGTAGTAAGAGAAAATGAGAAGGTGGTGTAGAGGATGAATAAAAATGAAAAGGAGTGGGTAGAGGAGTAGGAGAAAAATGAAAATGAGTAGGTGGAGTAGAAGAGGAGTAAAAGAATATGAGAAGGGGGAGCAGATGGAGGAGTAGAAAAGGAGCAGTAAGAGAAAATTAAAACAGAGGAGTAATAGAAAAATGAAAAGGAGTAGTTGGTGGAGTAGAGGAGGAGGTGAAGCATGAATATGACAAAATGAGGAGGGGGAGCAGGAAGAATAGAGGAGTAAGAAAACAATGAAAAAAAGTGGAGGAGAGGAGGAGGAGTAACAGAAAATGAGAAAGAGGAGTAGGTGGAGAAGATGCGGCTTAGGAGAAAAATTAAAAAGAGGAGTAGGTGGAGTAGAGAAGAAAGACAAAAGGGGAGGAGTAAAAGAAAAGAAAAAAAAGAGTATGTGAAGTAGAAGACGAGGACAAAATAAGGAGGAGTAGGTGGAGTAGAGGACAAGGAGTAGTAGAAAAAATAAAAAAGGAGTAGGTGGAGTAGAGGAGGAGGAGAAAATGTGGAGGAGATCAAAAATGAAAAGGAGGAGTAAGCGGAGGAGTGGAGGAGGAGAAGAAAAATGAAAAGTCTGAGTAAGTGGAGGAGTATGACACAAATGAAAGAGTAGGAGAAAATGAGCAGGAGGAATAGAGAGGAGGAAAGACATGAAAAGGAGGAGTAGGTGGAGTAGATGAGGAGGTGTGAAAGAAAATGAGAAAGATGAGTAGGTGGAGCAGTAGAAGAATAGGAGAAAGTGAAAAGGAGGAGGAGTAAGAGAAAATAAAAGGATTAGGTGGAGTAGATGAAGAGTAAGAGAAAAGGAGAAGGTGGAGGAGGAATAGTAGTAGAAAATGAGGGGGAGGAGGAGAAAAAGGAGAAAATGAGGGGAAGGAGGAGAAGGAGAAGAGGAGGAACAGTAGGAGAAAATGTGGGGAAGGAGGAGGAGTAGAGGAGGAATAGTAAGAGAAAATGCAGAGGTGTAGGAGAAAGATGAGTAAGATGAAAAAAGGGAGTAGAATGATTAAGTGGAGGAGTAGTAGAAAGAAGATAAGATAAGGAAGAGTAGGAACAGAAATAGCAGAAAGGAGAGTAGTAGGATAAGGTAGGCGGAGGACATCTGGATGAGTATCAGTTGTAGAAGGAAGAGGAAGAAGATGACTTTGACTATTTAATTGTCTATTCTGTTACATGATTGAACTGCCAACTATTCCAGCATATGTTTTACGCAGTGGATGCCCTTTCAGCCGCACCACAGTACTGGGAAGCACCCATACGCACTCATTCACAGACACACACACTACGGCCAATTTGGTTCATTGAATTCACCTGTAGCACATGTGTCTGGACTGTGGGGGAAACCGGAGCACCCGAAGGAAACCCACAATAACACGAGGAGAACATGCAAACTCCACACAGAAATGGCAACTGACCCCGCAGGGACTCGAACCAGTGACCTTCTTGCTGTGAGGCGACAATGCGAACCTCTGAGCCACTGTATCACCCATTTCCAAATTGCTGTAGTGAAAACAGAAAGAAACGCAGAACACAGCCTGCTTGATGTCACCTATCAATCCTCCACCACATCATTACTCCAACTCTCAGCTCTTACCCATCAAATATGCGACTAGATAAGACTTGTTTCAGCAGCTTTTGCCAGAACGTCCCGATCTTTTAGGGACCGCTCCCAGCCCGCCAGAGTCTCCAGGCTGACAGTACGTTCTTCATACATGACTCCAGTCATTTATTAACTGCAGTTGTTTATGTGCACTTGTACATTTCATGCCAGAACCAATAAATCATAGTGGGAGGAACCTTATGATTTTACATCAGAGTGGTGTCACTTTAACTGCACACATCAAGACGGAGAAGACAGCAGGGCACTGAGAAACACGCACAGCAATGCTCTGTCAGGAAAACACTGTTCACTTTGGCAGCTGGGCTTTTGTAGTCGGTGGATTGCTTTACCTTCTGAAACAACTGACCACGCAAACGGCGTACGGACGCTATGTGGACACAAAATCCCCTGGGTTGATGGTCCCAGCCAGGGCAGGCTGGTTTATACAGGAACTTCCTTCATTCTTAGTGCCCGTGCTGTTGTTTTTTGCAACGGAAAGTTTGCCAGGCGTTGGAAAACACATACTGTTCTGGACATTTTGTTTGCACTACTTTCAAAGGTAACGAATCTCACATTTCAAACATATTTGAGACGCTAGATATTTAGCATTTTCATTTATCTTTCTGAGAATGTTCTAGAGAGTCTCGGATCTTGTTAACAACATTGTAATATATTAATTAAGCTGTAATAAAGTTGTAAATGAATCATTAATATAGATATTAAAGTCTAGATGGTCAATTTTAAAAGCAGATTTTAAAGTTAACAATATTACATCATAAAATAGCTTTTAAATTACATTTTATGAATTATTTGAGACATTTTGAAGCGGTTCAAACGTAAATATTACATTAAAAGAATCAGGTTCATGTTAAAACTGTTTAAAATTCGTTAATAATCTTTAATCAAGGTCAAGTTTGACTTTAAATTGTTCATATTTCAGTTTTTGCTTTGCTTTTTGTTAATATTTTTGTATTATGGTATAAATAACTATAGTTATACTGTTATGATTATACAATATAAATAAAATCAATTATTATTTTTATTATTATCATTATTATTAGAGATTAATATAGTATTAAAACTGATTTCATTGTGAGTAGTGTGCATGCAAAAAAAATGAATGATTTATGTCATAGCGACCTGTGCAAATGTACTTTGGATGTCTAAAGTCCAGCAGTTGTCAAGCATAATGTGCATATCATCTGTCAGTCTTTAGTTTCTGCCGGTTACAGTGTAAAAGCAGAAATATCTTCTTTTTCAGTTACAGAGCAGCTCCGTTATGAAGCACGAATAGGAAGGATATGAGAATATGAGGTCAATGGTTTCCGCTCTATTCATTTGCAAAGACAAAATTACTTCACTTCCTTTCCCTCGTTGCTCATGAAGCAGACGCAACCGAATCGCTGCAATTAAAGTTACATGATGTGATGAATTAATGATGTATTCTGTGAGCATAAAAACATTTACAGTGGTACCAGTTACTTGACTTAAAGAAAATGAGTAAACGTGTTGCTTCAAAAGGGACAAAGTTGATTTTACTTAAAAAAAAAAGGAGTAAAACTGTTGCCTAGAGACAAAGTTGACTCTACTTTAAAAAAAGTGAGTAAAACTGTTGAATAAAACCTAAAAGTGACAAAGTGAGTAAACCAGTTGCCTAAAAAGCGACAAAGTTGACTACTTAATTTTTTTTATTATATTATTATAATTTAAATATAAATATTTATTATTATATATTAAAATAGAAATTATTATTATATGGAAATATTATAGGAAAGTTGACTCTACCTAACAATGTGAGTAAACCGGTTGCCTAAAAAGTGACAAAGTTGATTTAACTTAAAAATGTGAGTAACCCTGTTGACTAAAAAGCGACAAAGTTGACTTCACTTTAAAAAATGAGTAAACCTGTTGACTAAGCGACAAAGTTGACTCTACTTAAAGTGAGTAAACCCTGTTGACTAAAAAGCAACAAAGTTGATTTTACTTAAAAATGTGAGTAACCCTGTTGACTAAAAAAACGACAAAGTTGACTTCACTTTAAAAATTGAGTAAACCTGTTGACTAAGCGACAAAGTTGACTCTACTTAAAGTGAGTTAATCTGTTGACTAAAAAGCAACAAAGTTGATTTTACTTAAAAATGTGAGTAACCCTGTTGACTAAGGCCCCGTTTACACTAATGCGTTTTAGTTTGAAAATGCATAAGTTTTGCGACGGTTACGCCATCCATCCACACTAAACCGGAGTTTTCGAGCACAGACAACGGAGCGTTTTGAAAACGCTGAAGAGGCCGTTTTTATCTTAAAACGCTGCTGCTCTGTCTCAGTGTGGATGGGGGAAAACCGAGACATCTGAAAACGGAGGCGGGGCTGCCGACATTCGACTCTATGATTGGGGCTTTTCCTCAATATTAAGTAGCCTACACACAGTAAAGTTCAGCATCCTCTCCTTGTAAGTTTAGACTTTGCAAGTTTTATAAGAAAAACAAACTCCTTCGGGTAAATAACTCGGGTAAAAAACATGTCGGGTAAATTTTCAAAGGGAACAGTGTACTGTATAAACTTATTCACATCACCTGGCTACATTGTTTCACTTTCTTAACAATAAAATAAATACATGAAGGAACTGCTATTTTCCTTTTGATATTAACAACTTAACAGATAGCAGAAACGTTAAGGCGTTGTGCTGCATATATGAGCGTCATCTTCACTGTATGCATATTTATAACAAAACGAAGCCTATAACATTACTGCCTCCTTTCATTTTCATTGAAAATACGAAACATGCCCTCTCTTTTGCTAAATATCAGTTTTAATAATCAATAATGGCCATTATAAAAGTATTGGTCATTATAAAAGTTGACTACTTTAAAAACTGAGTAAACCCTGTTGCCTAAAAAGCGACAAAGCTGATTTCACTTAAAAATGGAGAACAACTGTTACCTAAAAGTGATAAAGTTGACTCTACTTAAAAAGTGAGTAAAACAGTTGACTAAGAAGTGACAAAGTTGACTCTACTTAAAGTAAGTAAACCTGTGGACTAAGCGAGAGATACCTGTTACCAAAAAAAGCGATGAAGTTGACTACTTTAAAAAGTGAGTTAACCTGTGGATTAAGAAGCGACAAAGTTGACTCTACTTAAAAAAGTGAGTAAGCTTGTTGCCAAAAAGAGACAAAGTTTAATTTAAAAATGGAGAACTCACATGTCAGTTGAAATGAGCATCTTCCAGAATGAAAGTCAATACTCGTATCTGTTGTTGCTGCAGGACATTTGTGTATTCACTGCTGACTAAAGGCCGTCCATCTCCTCTCCATATTGTGGTCAGTGCGGTGGTCTTCTGCTCGATCAATGGCTTTCTGCAGGGTCACTACATGCTGCACTGCACACAATACAGCAGCGACTGGCTCACAGACACACGCTTCATCACTGGTACAGCATCACTCACTCACTCACTCCCTCACTCACACGCAGTCAGTGAAGGCTGCTGCTACATTGGTTACAACCAGTGTTGAGTAAGTTACTTCAGAAGCTAAATTAATTACTGATTCAAACTGTAAATTTTTCCTGCAAAAGGTACTTTTAAAATTACATTATGTGAAATTTAGTAAAGGGCGACATGGCGACTCAGTGGTTAGCACTGTCTCCTCACAGCAAGAGCCTCTACTGGGTCAGTTGGCATTTCTGTGTGGAGTTTTCATGTTCTCTCGTGTTGGCGTGGGTTTTCCTCCGGGTGCTCTGGTTTCCCCCAGTCCAAACACATGCGCAACAGAGGAATTGAATAAACTAAATTGGCCAAAGAGTATGTGTGTGGACGAGTGTGTATGGGTGTTTCCCAGTACTGGGTTGCAGCTGGAAGGGCATCCGTTGTGTAAAACACATGCTGGAATAGTTGACGGTTCATTCAATCTAATTATTTAAAAATGAAAAGCAATCCCTTACTCTAAATTTTCAATGGAAAAGTCGTTCAATTACAGCGATTAATTAAACCCAACACTGGTTACAACTCACAAAAACACTCCATACTCAATAAAAATGAATGTTTCTTACAGGTTTGTTGGTGTTTTTGTGTGGAATGGCCATCAATATCCACAGTGACTATATTTTACGAAACCTGAGGAAACCCGGAGAGGTCAGCTATAAAATCCCAAGAGGTCAGTACTGTATGTCTTCCAACGTCAAAGTAATTCAGGACTATAATTATGAGTAAAAATGTTCCTCATACTACCAAAAACTTCCCTTTCTTTTAAGATTTAAACCAGGGGTGTCCAAACTTGGTCCTAGAGGACCGGTGTCCTGCAGCTTTTAGCTCAAACTTGCTTAAACACACCTGCATGAAAGTTTCTTGATAGCCTTGTAAGAGCTTGGTTAGCTAACCCAGGAGTGTCTGATTGGGGTTGGAACTTAACTTTGCAGGACACCGGCCCTCCAGGACCGAGTGTGGACACCTCTGATTTAAACAGTCAATCAAAAAAATATTTCTTTATTGACCGATCTCTCTATTTCAATACAATACATACAAGTAACCGTATAGTAACACTCTAGCAAGTGCATAGAATATCCTACCAACATAAGCAACCCTGAGGAACAGGCGGGGCTTTATTCACCATATTGAGGGTTACACTTTTCCCCATTCAAAACTATATGAGCGAGTCTTTGAGCTCATATAGTTTATAGTTGAGCTCTCTAGCAACCACTGAACCTAGTGCCATAGCAACAATTCATCTAAACTTTAAAACTTCTTCAAATGGATTTTTCAAGCCAATATTACATACATTTTCTTGATAATTTTTCTCTCTATCATATGATTCACGTTCAGGAGGGCTGTTTGAGCTGGTGTCCGGCGCCAACTTCTTCGGGGAGATTGTTGAATGGTGTGGATACGCCGTGGCCAGCTGGTCATTTCCTGCTTTCTCCTTCGCCCTGTTCACCATCTGCTCCATCGGGCCTCGAGCCTACCATCATCACAGGTGCTGCACAGACGACAACCCTGCTCTTGAATAATGGAATAACACACTCAAAAAATTATGTTTGTTGCTTGTTCAAATCATTTATTTAAAATCAGTTGAAACAACACAATTTTTACGTTTTTTTTTGGGGGGGGGGGGGGGTGTCAACTTAATTATTTTGAATTCAATCAACTTAGTTTTGTAAACAAAAAAAAAGATTAATTTAACCTAAAAAATGCAGAGTTCTGCACATTTCCTTCATGTTGTACCAACATATATCGAGTTACCTTCACAATTTGAACATAATTCAGTTGCCCGCCCCCCCAAAAAAACTACAAATCTTTCTTTAACTCATTTTAAATAAATAGTTTGAACAAGCAGCAAAAATTATATTTGAGTGATATTACTGTGCACAAAATGTACTTGTATGAGATAAAAATATAAAAAAAAAATAACAAATAGAGATATAAAGATATAACAAAGAGCACTTTCAGCAGACCATAATATATACCCTAATATAATTAAACGCAACTTAAAAGAAATTACAGATAAACTTCTCCAGATTTTCACTGGATGAAAACCTGGAAAATTAGTTTACAAATGACAATATGTGTAATAAAATGAAATGACGCAGGGAAAAAGTACTAAACACATGAAGAAAGGGAGGCGTAAAAAGGCAGTGAAAGCCCAGACAGCAGTTGAAAACTCTCAGTAGTTATTCAGCAACCCTCTGCCCTTCGTCGTTGTAAATGAATGTCAGATGCTTCAGTCCAACATCTACATTAGCAGGGTGATGAAGATGAAACCAGAGTGGACCTTTCAGTAAGACAGTGATGCAAAACACAGCCAAGGAAACTCTCAAGTGCTTTCAGAGAAAGAAAATCAAGCTGTAGAATGGCCCAGCCAATCACCTGACCCGAACTAATGTAAACTAATTAGTCTTGTTTTCTTTAAATATATCGATTTATTTGGTTACTATTATTATCTGGTTAAATTTTAAGTCAGCAGCACCTTTAGAAATATGTTTTCTGAGAAAAATGGTGACGTCTTGAATACTTATCCCCCCCGTAAATATATGACCCCCCCCCCCAACACGATGTTATGGCAATTCATAACTTTTTAATTTAGTGGCTAATTCGTAGGAATTCGTACGATGTCAATCATACAGTTTAGTCCCCCAACCACGATTAGGTTTAGGGGCGGGGTTGAGTGCCACGCCTCCTTTCTAAAAATCTAATTTACATACGACTGAACTTGTACATGTTGGTATGAATTAGCCACTAAGAGATCAGGCTGGATTCCCTGCTAAAAACCTTCTCTTTTTTTCCCCCACAGGTATTACTTGGAGAAATTTAAGGATTACCCCAAATCAAGAAAGGCTGTGATCCCTTTCCTGCTATAAGAAATCAAAAAAGGAAAAACATCCTAAAATAAGTGCACAGAGTCAGCCATCTACTCCAGTGATGTTTAAACTCTCCTAGTCACATTTACCACCAAGAGACATTTCTACATTTCTTGTATTTATTTTTTTTAAATACATGTTTACATCTGTACAAAGTGATCTACACACACTCGTCTTGTCAGAAAAACAAATGATCAGTAATAAATGATTACAACCACTCAAGTGTCACTACAAAAGTGTTTTTCCCTCATTAAAATTGTCAACCCTTCATCATTTATAATTAGTAGATTTGATTTCAGAGATTATAAAATTATAGTTCTCCTCTGTGTGCATCAGAAACAGTGTGTTTCAGTCAGCTGATGGACTTTAATGCACTTGAATGAACTGTGATGAATCACTCAAACACACACATATCTGTTACTCTCCTGGATCTGCCTTGATTTTGAGCTGCCGTTCAGACTGTACTGAAGTCTTCATGGCCTTCTGCATGATCCACGTGCAGAAATGAATCCCAGCGAATGCACCTCCGGCAACCCAAAACCAGTTCTTCCTGAGCCAGCTGTGGTTTCTCATCCTCTCCTTGGTGCCCAGAAGGGTTTTCAGAAAGGAGGAGATATTAAAGACCTGCAAACGCAAGCATGAAGATTAGTAGACTTGACTTTTAGCCAACATTAAAGGTTTTAATAACTCTGCTACCAAATACAAAAATATAGAAGCGATTTTTAATATACAGGTTAAGTCAAAATGATTTGCCCTCTTGTGATTTTTCTTTTTCACATATTTCCCAAATGATGTTTAACAGAGCACGGGATTTTTCACAGTATTTTCGATAATATTTTTTCTTCTGGAGGAAGTCTGATTTGCTTTATTTTGGCTAGAATAACCTCTTAGCCTCTTTAAACCAACCCAAGCTCATTCTGAAAACGTAGTCCCGTGGACGTTTCTGGAGACAGCGGAATATGTCCCGGGGGGTACGTACGGCCGCGTTTATTTTTTTCAAGCGAACGCTGCAGGGCGGTGTGACGCAGTTCCCTTTTGCGCTTGCCTTACCTCCTTGTGGAGGGCTTCCCCGCTCAACACACTCTTCTGTCTGTAATCTCCAGAGTCCCGTCCTATCTCACAGTCGTCCTATCCTATCACAGTCTATTAAAATCTCTAGTAACACCCAAAAAAGTCACTAGAATTGTCGCTAGTTGCTTTTTTGAGAATTTGTTGCTAGGAGGGCCTGAAAAGTCGCTAAGTTGGCAACACTGCAAGCTGCCGGCTTTTAATCCTTTAAAAAAAATTATAAATAAATAAAAAAATTATAAAAAGACAAATTACAATTGTACAAAAGTTTCTACTTAAAAAACCTTACAATTAGTTAATACCAAGCTAAATTTCATTTAAGCTAATTAAATTTTAGCTTTTTATTTGATTTACATAAAGTTGGAATAAAATTAAAAACTACTTGTTTAACAAGGCATGACAAACACAACAAATTGACTAAAATGTTCAAATTAAAATAAAAACATTATATTTTTATATAAAGTGTTGCAAAATTGCCCTGTAGAAGTAGAAAACTCATGCTAATCCTGCACTCTCTACACTTTGACCAAATCTGACATTACTAAGAAAGTCCTCTTATCTTCACAGAAAAGATAAAACACACACGCAAGATAAAACGTTCAAGATAAAACTCTGCATGCAGCGGAAAGAGCAGCAAGTGTGTTCATTCATATCCACATCTACACAACTACAAACACGGACATGAACCTGAGTGACTGATAACAGATTACACACACACCTTTGTGCCAGTTAAAGAGACAGAAGATTAAGCTGAAACTGTCATGACATTATATTATTAACCCTTGTGTACTGTTCAATTTAACTACTTTTTCATAATGTTAAGCTTTTTTTTTTTTTTTTTTGCATTTTGCACAGCAACTGATGATCGACAATAAGAATGTAATGTTTTACCTCTTCCCAAAACGGAATACCAGCAACAATCAAGAATGCATGATTATATGCTGTCATGGCTTTGCAATAAAAAAATGCCATTATAATGAAAGTCAATGAGTAAAACAGCCTCGAACATAACGAAAAGGTAGTCAATTTGCCTGGAGTGTATTGTAGAATTTTTTTTAATTTTCAAAGCATTTTCCCAAAATATGTGTCAAAAAGCCTAGCCTCTTTCACACACACAGACCTTTTCTGGAGAATTACAGGGAATTTACCTCAAAAGTCTGTATGCATGTGTGAACAGGCCCTTTTTGAAAATACCGGTAAATTATTTCCAGATTTTCTGGAAAGTGAAGTTGTAACATTACTGGTAACTTGCCGGAATGCTGCTCTGTGTGAACACAGAAGGAAAATTGCAGAAAAAAGCTTATTCAAGATTAGAACTCGCCAACTTACATGAGAAGTCTACTCCAGCCAATCAGAACATTCAAATGCTTCCTGATAACTTCTAGTTAATGATGTCAGTATTTACCGGTAGTTTGGACTGGATGTGTGAACAGGCTTTCCCGGAAAAATTCCGAAACGTTCTTGCTTGTGTGAACAGCGCTTTTTATAATTTACCGGTAAAGTTGTTCCATAAATTTTCTGTATATTTACCGGTATCACTGTGTGAAAGGGGCTATTGAATCAACAGTATGAACAACAAATACTATGGACGTCAACGGTTACAGGTTTACAACATTTTTCAAACTATCTTCTTTTATGTTTAAAAGAAAGAAAGAAACTAATAAAAGTCAAATGTGAGTGAATGATGACAGAATTTAAGGTGAACTCTCCCTTTAATATCCGTGGCTACGGTCCATACATCCTTATGAAACAAAAAAATTATTTTGTGCAAGACAATTAACATTAAATGCATCGTTAACACCTTTAAACCACTTAAAGCCTGGGCACAAGACCTAAGTCATTGCTTTGCAATCAAAAATGCCATTATAGTGGAAGTCATGGGGGCAAAAACAGCCCCGAACATAAGTGTATTGTTGAATTTTGGAAAATTTTCAAGTATTTTTTCTAAAATATATGTCAAAATAAGATTTGTCTCCATAAACATGCAACCATTGAATTCAATAGTATGAACAAGTGCTTTGGACGTCAATGGTTACAGGTTTCAGACATTTTTCTAAATATCTTCTTTTGTGTTTAAAAGAAGAAACTCATAAAAGTCAAATGTGAGTAAAAAATAACAGAATTTTGGGTGAACTCTCCCTTTAATATACGTGACTACACTCCATACAGTCCTACGAAACAACAAAAAAAATTCAGTTTATGCAAGGAAATTACATGCAAGGAAATTACCCCATTAATACCTTTAAACCACTTAAAGTCTAAGCACAATACATCAGTTATGGTTTTGCAATTAAAAAAATTGCATTATAGTGAAAGTCAATGAGGCAAAAACATTTGCCAAGAGTTTAGTGTCGAGTTTTTAAAAACATTTTTTTTTTCATTTAACCAAAATATAGGTCAAAATAACAGTTGTCAACAATAAACATGCAACCATTGACTTCAACAGTATGAACAACAAATAATATGGACGACAAGTTTACAAGTTTCCAACATACTTCAAAATATCTCCTTTTGTGTTTAAAAGAATAAACTCATAAAAGGTGAGTAAAAATGACAGAAATTTGGGTGAACTCTCCCTTTAATATCCGTGGATACGGTCCGTGCACTCAAAAAAAAAAACATTCAGTTTGTGCAAGAAAATGAACAATATTACCCCATTAATACCTTTAAACCACTTAAAGCCTGAGCACAAGACCTCAGTCATGGCTTTGCGATCAAAAAAAAATCATTTTATAGGAGGTCAATGGGGTAAAAACAACAAAAGGGTAGAAAACTCAGAGTGTATTGTTGAATTTTGGAAAAATTTCTAAGCATTTTACCAAAATATATGTCAAAATAACAGTTGTCAACAATAAACATGCAACCATTGACTTCAATAGTATATTTCAATAAGAAATATTATGGACGTCAATGGTTACAGGTTTCCAACATTATTCAAAATATCTTCTTTTTTGTTTAAAAGAAACTCATAAAAGTAAAAGGTGAGTAAATAATGAGAATTTTGGGTGAACTCTACTTTTAATATCTGTGGCTATTGTGCATACATTCTTATGAAACACAAATCAGTTTGTGCAGGAAAATGAACATTAATACCATTTACCATCACCATTAATACATTTAAACCACTTAAAACTTGAGCATAAGACCTCAGTCATGCCTTTGCAATAAAAATAATAATTTTAATGACAGCCAATGGGTCAAAAACAGCCCCGAACATAACGAAAGGGTAGTCAACTTGCAGTCAGTTTTGCTGAATTTGGGAAATTTTTCATAGCATTTAGCCATAATATGTGTCAAAATAAGATTTGTCACCAAAATTATGGCCAAATTAGGACCCAGAGTGATTGAAAACATCCCCAATAGCATACAAGGGTTGAGGTGAAAGTCTGAATGTGCGAATTATTCACCTCAATAAACACAGTCAGCTCCAGTTACTCCTGGTCTCTGGTCTTCTTGCTCTTCTTTTCGGGCAGAGGGGGCAGAGCCGGCGCAGGCTGAGCGACGTACGACACGATGCCCGGTTCGGGAATATATTCGTCGTCTCTGCCCTTCTTCAGCAGCGGGTTGGATTTGATCGAGTACCAGCCCCAGTGAAGCAAGCCGAGGCCAGGGACCATAACAAGCAGCACTTTGTAGTTATTCCAGAATCTCCGGAGCCCACTCATGTCTATCAACACGTCAACAGCCTGATGCCTGAACAGCAGAAGGAGATTTCAGAATTCAATGAAGAACGGTGGTATATTCTGTGAGTGTTATTTTATATTAACCTTGTGATTGTTTGCTCGGGTTAATTTCTGCTAAAGCGAAGGAATTAATTCATCAGTTATTATTAAGTGAGAGTGCTTTGCATTTAAGTTTGCATTCTAAAATACTGTGCATTTATGAAGTGTGCTTCACACAGGTGAGTGGGCTTGATAAACCACATGCACATACACTTTTCTCTCTCTTTAAAAAAAAAAAAAAAAAAAAACACATCCCCTTCCTAACTCTAGCACTTATTCATCTGAGCACAAAGAGTTCCTTAAGTATAATTAGCACTTCTTGTGTGTGTTGCCTCTTCTTGTTGAACTGCTGAATGCCTCTTCAATTGTAAGTCGCTTTTGGAAAAAAGCATCGGCTAAATGTGTAAATGTAAATGTTCCAACTCTAAACCAATTTCCCTGAGCTTTCCTGAACTTTCACAGGCTAAAATGTTGGATTTCCATGACCTATATTTATAATAATGAGCAGACAAACAAGACAATATATTCTTTTATCGAATGTTGTCACGTCGCTTCTGTTTTAATAAACAGTGCGAAAGCTTTAAAAAAGCTGGACCGGAGGTAGATTGAATTGCACAGCACTTGGCAATCTTTTCTAGTAATCTTTCTAAGGTAACATTAATAGAAACATTAAATAAATGACGATGCATTCACACAAATAAGAAATTAAATACATGGCAAATACTTACAAATCAAAAGTTAAAAGTAATTAGCCTCGCAACCTAATTAGCTACATTTGCAATTCTGTCAGCAACTACTTACAGTATAATTTTTTTAAAAATAAATATACACACACACACACACACACACACAAACACACACACACACATATACATATATATACATATATACATACATATATATATACATACATATATATATATATATATATATATATATATACATACATATACATACATATATATATATATATATACATATATACATATATATAT